TAAGCCTAATTGTAATTATGACATCAATTTCTGGTGTTGACGTTCTTTGGTGCCAATTTTGTGGCGTCAAATCACAATGCAAAAATTTTGTCACCGCGGGGAATCGAACCAAGGACCACTTTCCCACTCCTTTTTTTGGCATTCAGAGGGCCATTTAGCGGAAATGGACTACAGTTCTGTACTCCATGCACATCCCTCTACATCATGCAAAAAACCGTTTTGAGAAAGCGCGGGTCACCTGAAAGACCTGCCCTTGTAAGTGATCCTGTGCCTATTAATACCTTTCCCTTATTAGTGAATACAAGAATCTCGTCTCATGCACGGAAACAAGCCAGTAGACTGACGAACTTTGAAAACTTTACACATCGCTTTCGCTGGGCTTGAACTACGCAGTGGCATTCAAAATTCAGAACAGGGAACCATGGGGAAGGCGATACGATAGTTAGGGCGTGACATTTGTTAACCGATGAAAGTGTGAAAACAAATTTCGTCACCGTTGTGTGAGAATAAAAGCTGAGACCGAGCGTAACATTTGCACATCGGATACCATTCTGGACTCCGCAGGCATGCTTGTGGTAAGTCTAAACACAAACTTCCAGTTTATGTCGATCAAATCACAAACTCTTTAGATTTTCTCCTTATTGTTTAACCTCTACGGCTTCTGCCTTGGATACCGCAACGCCCCAGATTCACGTATGTCTAATCTTCCTTCTACTGTAAGAGGTTTTGCTTATTGCAATAGTCATTTAAGAAAGGCTCCATCGCTCTCTCGAACGAATTCAACAATATCCCATTTTCATCGTTATAACTAAATTAGAAGAGAGCAACTGCAGGTTTTCAGGAGTTACGGTGCTGTAATTCAGGATTAAGAAGGAAGAGTATCTCTGAATACTGGGTATTGCCTTTTAACTGAACGAGTTTTCGGATACTGTACTCATCCACCTGGTCATTATTCTACGCAAGCTTTTTCGGTCATACGGTATCGTCGACATGTTATTGAACTCATTGAGACGCTCATTATTGCGACGCCAAATATGTACATACCAAAACTAGAACACCCATCTCTTTGATAATCGCCTATCATAGGATAAGTACACAGTACACAGTTCAAAGCTGAAAGGCCTGTTATGAACTTCTCAATAGCGTCTGTGCGGGGTTTCCTGTGAAGAATATTGTATGCAGCAAGTAGGGAGAAGGTTGTGGTGCTCAACCCCAGAATTGTGCACCGTGACTTGTTCCTTACGGACTCCACGCAAATCGTTGATCCCGGTGCTCTTTCAAATGGTGGCAATGGAGATGCATCACAGGGCTGCCACCAGAAACGCAGTCGCAAATGTTTTCCCTTAATGACTTCATTTATTAGAGGTCATCTTAAGGTTTTTCCTGCGGTTTAAGGATGTAGCTCTTCGAGTATATATCGGGATAAATTATCATTTAATTAGCCTCGCTCACGATAATGGCCCCCTCGTGAAGTGAAAGTTTTTGATGCCTATGGATCTGGAGCAATCTTGTGGAAATGGCATCCCGTCAGCAGTGCGACAGTGGATGGTTGTCCGCGTATGCCCGCCCAAAAAGCATCCTTTTACTAGGAACTTCGAATGTTTCTGCACAACGATCTTATTCACTTCGGGACGCTCCAGAGAGTGCTGTTACACCTCATCTGTCAACCCTACGCTAGTTCCCCACCGTGTCAAAAAGCCTTGGTGTTTGACGACAGGTGACACTGAGGATAGTGAATTGAGCAGGCACCTGTGCTTAACCGCAAAACAAGAATAAGGATAAAGGAACGGGAACATTTGTCATTGTCATCCTTTTTTGGGCACGCGATCCTTGTCCTTCTTTATACATTCTTAGTTGCGTTTTGAATGGGAGATCGCCGATCAAGTAGTCTGACTGGGGGCCGGCTGATGTCAGTCGTGTTTGGTGTCCTTAGTACACCGCGGAAGACGGAAGGATTGGATGGCGAAGCGAGGCACGATTAGGGTCGATCCCCGACCGCGCACGTGGTGCGCATGCCACTTGCCACTGCATCACTGCCGTCATACGACAAGAACTAGTGAGAAAAATTAAAGCTTTTTTCGAGCACCGCGATTTCCTTAATTTACGCCCACCTTGTAGTGAATTTGCATGGCTACGTTTCGATCACTTCTTCGAAGAGTACCTTTTCAAAGCTTTAGTAGAAGAACTATTAGGTCGTCCCAAAAGTTCGTGCCACTTTCGAACATTTTTTTGAGTTAAGGTTATCTCAACAAAAAGCAATATCCATCATCAACATGTGGACTGTTGCTATCAGTGACTTGATGCCAACGATCCACCAGAGTGTCGACGCCGTGCTCCTAGAAGTTCGGCAGTTTCAAGCTGGAAAAGGCTGTGAGGTCGATTTCGAGCTCCTTTTTTGAATCGTATTTTTCGTCAGTAAGATGATTACTTAGCAAGATGAATAGTTGGCCTTTGGAGGGAGGCTGATCACCGCTGTACGATGGATCTGGTTGCACTTCTCAACTAAGCTTCGAAATCCAGAGCCGTGCCATTTACGAAACACGTGGTCTCGGTTGTCGCGGAGCGGACGTACTTTATTAAATTTTGGGCGTAATAGTTGGAGTTTTCTGACCAGCTTCCAGCCTTGATTGAAGGAGACCTAGGCTGTTACAAGGCCGAAGCTGTGGAGAAGTTCTCGGTGGCTTCTTCGAGATTTGCTCCCCATACGTGAGCCAACACGGCTTGCTGTATTTGACAGTTTTTCAACCCCTTTTGATCGATCTAGCCGCTGATGCTTCCGCAGGTCTATAGCATAGAACAACCACTTCTCATCAGCAGTAACGCCGTTGTTTAGCGTAGGTGACGCGTAGGGATGAATAATTTATGACAGAACTCGTGTTGCACTCTTGTGATTAACGGTCAATTCATGGGGATTTCTTTGTCCAAGCCTCTATAATTTCCCAGAGGAGTGCAGACCTCTATCAATCGTGTACCTGAAACGTCTGCGTGTGGCGGTCACTCGTGCGGGTAGCTTTTAATGGGAGCACAGCAGGTCCAAATCGGACACCGATTGCCTTTCCAGGTCAGGATTTTCTCGAGGCTGTAGTCTCCAGAGAGAAGCAGGTTGCACCATTTTGATACCTCATGGAGAACGACGACGAAGAGGTGTACACTAAGCAAACGTAACTCCTGGGTTCGACCGATTTGTGGCTCAGCAGAAGTCCATAATTCAAAGTGTGAAAAACATGGCTCTCTTCGTTTTCGGTTTTAAGTTCGAAGAAAGCAGCTAAGGTGGGCATGGTTCGCGTATAGGTTACTCCACGAAGTGGGCTTTTCGTAGCCTACTTGCTCATATTCAGAAATCGCTAAATGTAGTTTTGGCATGAGGTGCAAAAAAGTGGCACGAACTTATGGGACAACCTACATCTCCGAAATGTTTTCAGATGCTCAAAATAGCGGTACCTTTTGTTCTCTTCATTGGAGAGACTGATAACAATTTTCGATGTCTTCATCAGAGTAGAGTGCGCTACTTGTGTTCTGATCACCAGCCAGATTTTAGCTCGCTGTCAAAATTCTTTAAATATGTGTAGTGGAGGTCCGAAAATCCCTTTCACCAGAATTCAAAAGCCAGATGTTTTCTTCTAATTCCTATTGATTAGTTGTGCAGGCAGGCCACTTGTAAACTAGCCTCGCTAACAAGGGAGGTCGTTCAGGATGTGCCAAGCTTTTTCCCACAGAGGTTGATTGTAAATGGAACCTTTCATTAAGTGGCCTGACGTTTCGACCTTCTCGTCTTCTTCAGAGGCCAAAGGTTCCACTAGTTTTGCGGAGCATCAGCTCGCGCCCTGTCAGTAATATTAGTATGGGCAAATGATGGTATTTTGCATGATATAGAAGCGCATGCGGGAACCATAAAACTATGTTTAATTTTTCCTGAACGGCCCTCTGAATACCAGAAAAGGGGGTCCCTAGTTCGATTCCTCGTGGTGACAAATTTTTGCATTTCGAGTTGACGTTATCGAAACTAACTTTTATTGGAAACGTCAACTCGAAATGCAAAAATTTGTCACCACGAGGAATCGAACTAGGGACCCCCTTTTCTGGTATTCAGAGGGCCGTTCAGGAAAAATGAACCATGGTTCTGTGGTTCCCGCATGTGCCCCTATATCATGCAAGAAACCATTTTGAAAAAGCTTGGCACACCCTGAACGACCTCCCTTGTAAGGCTGCTTTCATAATTTGAGCCGTTCGGTTGTGGCGGACGGTGCGAAGAGAATGAGAAGCGTCAGCACGCGCACTAGCGCACAACACGTACTTGGCATGCAATCAGTAGCCTCCGATCGATAATTTCAGTTCCAGTATGTTTTGCTGTTTATTTCCCATGTTTTGTGTGTCATCTCGCTCTCGTTCGTTATCTTTGCTTCGAATTTTTCCTTTTTTGTATGAAAAATATTCCTTTGCTTACTGATTTCTTTGGGGCTCAGCACCCGTTCAGATGCAACTACATAGCGCTACTCGTTTAGGAACAACTGAAAAACATTGCTTATGCAATAAAGGAAAAGTCTAAGCCAGAAAACACAACAGAAAGCGAGACGACATGCAAAACATTTTTTAAAAAATGGACAGAATGTATTTAAGTTGAATGTATCGATCGAGAGCTGCGACTGTACGCCAAGACACGTCATGCGCCAGTGCGCGTGTTGACGCTCTTCACTCCCTGCGACTCCTTCACTCCCTCCGCATCGTCCGCAAGGACCGCAACGTGTGCGACGGCGCGAAGTATGAAAGTAGCCTAATGTGTGGAACTATTTATGTTTCGAAATGGCCATGCTTATCCATTACAATCTGCAATCATTTGCACACGCGAGACAGGGTGTGCAACAATGGCATTGTTCATTTCTTATGGAGTCCATCAAAACTGTGCAGAGGGTTCTTCAAAAATACATTGAAAGAAGATCACTAATGGCGCAGCTGGTCGAGGAAAAAAAGGTCGGAAAATGGAAAAGGAGCACTTAAAAATGCACCTGTCAACTTTCACTGCGATAGTCGGGCTCTCTCTCTCGTATTCTTGATCTCACTTTCAGGGTTTAGTTCAAAAGTAGTGCATTACATCACTGACAAAAACCCCTCGGTCAGCCCGGAAATTCCCTGTAACAACCTGCAAGTTTTATTTATTATGAGAATATTGAGCTCACAGATGGATTATAGTTTACTGAACTGGCTGTTTCAAAAAATTCATATGTAGTGGACAAGATCCAAAGTAAGGAAAAAGACTGCTCCACAGTTAGCTCTTCTCTACTGGTCGGCTCGACCCAATGCCAAATTTCGATAAAGTCTCAAGGAGACTTATTTGCCGTTTCAATACCCTTCCATCGGCGTAGCCGCCAGACAAACAGTCTTCTGAATAGCATTTAGTTGGATCCATGCAGCACAGTCCAGAAGGCAGATGATTTTGAAAAGTTGAAGAGTGCAAAGACTAGATGGTTTTGACACTGCACGTAACCTGCGGGCCAAGTCTTTGTTGTTGACCCAGCTTATTTTCATACTTTTTTTTCGAACCGTGTAGGGTTTTTTGTAACATTGTTTTGGTATTGTAGAGTTCTGTCAGAAACACGGAAGCTTCATGGATGACACCACTCGCTCAAAAATTCTAGAATTTCATAACGGATTTCGAACTCTGCTCGCTGAGGGAATGTCGCCAGGTTACGAAGGCAACTACCTTCCAGCCGCAAAAAAATTATACAAGATGGTCAGTCCGAATGTTATTAGTTCAACCGGCTAGCATTACAAGAATGCTGGGTTGTGAACAGCACTACCACTTTGTTTTGCCCCAGACAAGACTCGACCCAGCATTCTTGAAACTTAGCAGTCAAAATCAATTCGACATCTGTTTAATGTTATCGGGAAGAAACTTTCTGCCGAATTTAAGAAAAAAATATAGAAAGGAGTTACTGTAATGTTAAGAAGTACTATCACTATGTGTTGTAAGCACATGAGGCTATCGAGAGCACAGTTAGCCGAGTTGTAGAGAGTGTGGTCTCACGTTTACACCATTGAAGCTTGGCCTTGGCCCCTGCCGCGGCATGGACTAAGCTCTTCAAAAATGCAAGAATATTCCACTACCATCATAAGACCCAAGCCGAGGAGCAGAAGGCCTCGATCGAAGATAATGTTCTAAATCGAAACTCTGTACATCGGATATCACTGGAAAGTCTCGGAAAGTGGCTGATGTGATCTGATCGCCAGTGAGTAAGATCCTCTGTATTCAGGGAAGGCGTTGGAGGTGAGCTAAGTTTAAATAAATGGGGGCGAGAAATGACTCACAACGGTGAAGATACCGACCATAAAGCGAGGGATTACGATAAGTTTGGACTGGGTTCATAGTGGAAGTGGAGATGCTGAATAATGCCCCAGTGGCGAAAAAAGCAAAGAAATCCGTCAAGAAGGCGCAAAATGGGACCCCTTTCTTTGCCCGTTGACCTCCGATAATGGACGAGCTAGCAACCAATTAGGAGGTCGTTTGCACATGTTATGCTGATAGCCTCTATCATTTCAGCAAGCATCATGCTTTGATTGATCACGCATCCCATGAAAAGTTATAGGATACACTCTGGAAGTGGAATATCTCGTCACATTGGCAATCGAAGGGCGCTGCTGCTGGGGGCGGAGCACAGACCGTGGCGGGGCTCAGAAAGGAATGGCAAGCCTTGTACGCTGCAACTAGCGCACCTTTGACCACAAAAACGCAACATTTCGTTTCCTTGGGCCCCTGACTACTGCTTCCAATGGTGCATGTACTTCCACGCTGCATACGCACTTTATCGTAATCTCTCGCTTTAACTATGTGGCCATAACGGTAGGGGAGCCTCTCGAAGAGTGCATTTCTGCTGTGAATAGAATCAGCGATCGAATCATATTTGTGAGGATTGACTACGAAAGAACTACTCACTGATAATTCATGTAAGCATCGCAAGTGAGTAGCCTTGAACATGGGAAAAATGAGCTCTTCCTGAGCAATGATAACGCCATCACGTCGAAGGTAACCACTCGCCGTAGCGGAAGATCTGGATAGCCGCATCGGTAGTAACAAGAGTGGCCTATAAAGGGTATGGAATTTAGACAAATAGGAGTGAAGGATGACGAAGAGGAAAGGGAGAGGGACTCGGATTTGACTAGAATCCAAGGCTGAGCGGTATGCAGCACGTTTTGTGAAAATGAAGATTTAGTGGGGTAAGTTACAGCACTGCTTCAGCGTAAACCTCCCAGCGCGAACATTGCCATAAACCTTTCCAAGAAGACAAAGATAGGAATGGAGCGGAAATAAGGTGCTGGAGGCTGCATCAGTAGCCGAAAGAAGATCTCAAATGAATGATATAAATAGCTGGTCGCGGACATAGATTCTTGTACCGTTCGCATATCGCGGATTGAGTAAATGTAGAGCAGAATGTCAACGAGATGTGAAGCGAAGGAGGGTGAATATAAGTTCTAGCAAAAAAAGGAGGGGCTGGTTCGTTCAATACAAAACCGCAAGACACTCGACAGGAGAGCCGTTTCTAAGGCGAATGACACTGACATGAACATCCCCTACAAAAAGCTAGGAAGCGGAAACGCAAAGAAGTTATCGCCACGGTGGCTCAATTTCATCCAGTGACTCAAGAGGACGGTGAAGAACGTGAGGATCACTGGTGGTATTTTGAGGAAACCAATCAAACCGAAAAGGATGTGGAAAGAACACAACAACAAACTTCTGGACAACGAGCAACCCCCCCCCCCGAATAGCCTAGGCAAGGGCTAGATCCGTCTAACAATAGGGAATATGGAGATTGGGAAGTCTTCAGAAGCTTTCAGATACTAACGGAGACGTGGTATGCGCTTGAAAAGCAATGTAAAGTTCACCCGCTTCTTGAGCACAAGCGTGGAAGAGGGATCCCGGATGATTGGAGAACAAACAGAAGGCAAGAACGTGGGCGCTATGGAGTGAACCTGCTAACCTGCTACCGTGGGATCAAGTTGACTGCGCATGACATAAAGCGGCACCAGCAATCAGTCTACCCGATGTAGAGGGAGCTAGCGCAAGAAATTTAAGTTTATACCCAAAATTCTGCTACGGATGTTCACTTTAATTCCGATTCGCCTTTAGGCAGGTGATTGGGAAGTGAGGAGCGATCTCAGCGCTGATGATAGAGTGCATTTAGCATTGAGACTCGAATAAAGACAGCGCAGATGGAGTGAAGGGAGTTCGATATCCTATGTGACAGATGACGCTTCAGGACGCTCGAGAGCATGGGCAACGATAACCGTGATGATCACTGAGTGCTGAGTTGTAGGCAAGGATCACGAGAGGCACTCGCAATCCGCTGAAATAAGGATGGGAATGTGGCTAGACGCTGCGCGACAGGATTAGGAGCGCAACAAGGACGGTTCACAACGTTAGGCGGTAATGTAAACCGTCCTTGTTCAGCTGAAGGCTCGACGGCAGTGTCTGCGCTGATCGGGCACGCACTGAGAATGCCATACATCGCACCTGAAAGTATGCACTATGCAGACCTAGAAGACCGGGGCAAATCACCGCGAGGAGCATTAAAGAATAGGATGAGGCACGCTGTAAAGAAGGAGCATCACTGCAGTCAAGGCCATGGCAGGGTGCTTTCAAAAGACAAAGTGGGGAAGTTTAAGAGGGATAGACACAGTAATTAAGCGCAAGGGAAGCGATAGGAGAAGAACAAAAAGATGATCTGCAGTACCTGCATTAGCGCGCAACCCTCAATTATAAGAATAAACAAGAATACAAAAAGTTGTCATCAGTTGAACGGAAGTTCTATGCCAGATAGCATGATTATTGCATGGAGTACAGGGCACGTTTCCTCAAACTTAGGTCATTTCGCAAGGCCTCTAAGCTGTGGGCAGCCAAGGTGAACTCACACAAGACCCATTCCGAGAGAATCACCATTCGAAGAGAGCCAATTACGCCGCCTGAATTAGAACTCAATTTGTGGATTGCAGAGGTGGAATTGCGAACTCGAAGAAAAGGCACTGGAAATGACGAAGAATTGTTCACATTCGATAAGCGAGAAGCTGGACCTTGGTCAGAATGTATACTAGTGAGTGAGATAGCATTATTCCCTCCCATCCTCATTTTTCTCCATTCTCGCTCGTCTTCAAAACAGCACATATTTCTACCGATATACTGACTGATTCTAGCGCCTATGACGGAGACTACGTTTACGATGCTGGAAAACATAAAGTTATCAATGATGCAATGTACCAATGGACAATGCCTGGAGAGTACTATGCCATGAACCAACAAGTGTTCGACGACAATCGTTTGTACACTTTTGCAAATGTTAGATACCCACCTGCATTCTCCATTCTGAATAATATAAAACTCACTTTTCAGATGGCTTATCAGGATATCTACGAGGTCGGTTGCAATTATGAACAGTGCGTTGACGAGAACAACTTTGTAATTGAAGCATCGGTTATGTGTATTTACAACAAAAAGTAAGGAATACCTGCAAAGTTTTCAAGTATGTATGTTGTCAGTTATAGAAGAATTATAGAAATACTCCTGTTACAGAGTTCCCGTTGGCACCACACTGTATGAGTTAGGAGACACAAATGGATGTGAAAATACTCCTAATGTGTGCAATATGCCGGATGCCAAATGTGTAGGTCTTCTTTGCGAAGTGCCGCGCAATCCCCCTTCATTCCTTTGATTGTCTGATTTTTCTTCTGAAACTTCGAAATAAAGTTTAGCAGTCGCCTTTTTTGATGATCGCAAAAGATTGAAACAGGGACGTTCCGCGAACAAAGGTCAGTCCCATTAGATTATGCCATGCATTCGAAACCCGTCCGTTTAGAAAATCAAACATTGCTGCTTGTTCCCGCGAAGAATTTCACCACTTTGATGAAGAATTGCAGCATATAGTAGCGGCATTTGGAAGCTCTTTTTATTTTCGATATAACGCGGCCGACACATACGAAATTGCCTCAAATTTATACTATACATACAAAATCAAGTCCAGAATACGATGGGGAGAATAATTTAAAATCTATAACCATGTTCAAGAAATAAGATTTTTATCAAGTAATGGCGCGTGGAAACTTTTTGTTTCCCTCATCATTATGATTCCTACTCTTCAATGTTTACTTGTTTCTGTTAATTTTAGTTCAACCATTGAGTAATGTGTAATTTCAAAATGAATTCATATGCAAAGGAAGCAGTTTTTCCATGGGAGGTCCTTTTTTAAACCCTACAATCCGGAATACGAAATTGAAATTGTTTCTTAGTAGTTCAGTCTCTACGGAAGCAATATTATCGAATGTTTTTAGCGTTTTGGAGTCGAGTAAGCATAAGAAGAATGATCATTCACAAAAAGTATTCTCACAAGAAAATTGGCCCTCCTCAAATACTTCGAAGGGTGGTTGGCACGTCCCGTCCCCGACATCCCAACTAAGAGACGATTTTTTCTGGTTTTGAACCTAATCATATGAAAGTCCAAGCACAGCCCAACATCGGCCGCGACCTGGTGAATATTACGGATGATATCCCAACAAGAAGCCATTGTTGGGCTTCAAGAGCAGGATGGCCCAACTGGCTTCCGCACACTAACGGCTAACATGGACCGAAGGCGAGAGGAAACTTTGTCCTCAGCGACGAGCAGGATTTCTGTCTTCCTAAAATGATGTTGTGGACCCTGTGAAGTGTTTGTCAAATGGAAACCTCATTTTGAGTATAAGATTCCAACAGTCAGAAATAGTGGAAGTATTGTCATGGATGAAGATGTGTCCGACCATTCGGCGATTCCCCAGTTCTATGTATCCAGCGAAATGTGGGTTGGGCTAAGTACAAGGAATAGTCTATCGAAAACAATGCTTCTCTTCGATGTTTAGAACTAGAAGATGTTGCCCTGGTCTCTGGGCCATTGTGAATGTTAATCGTGAAATTTTAGCGAACACTGTTAGTAACTGCATATGACTCGCTGTCCCTCACTATTCTCCCTCCCTTGACTGATAACACAAGATAAAGAGAGATAAAAGCCAGGGCGCGAACGGCAGCTAATCAAACACTGGTGGTCAATTTATCGTTAGCATCAGAGTCAGGGTCAACCATCCGTCCGCAATATTTCATCGAGGAGGTCGCATTTGCGGTTTTGAGTGGAAGGTCGATTTGCAGTTGCTGGAAGGGGCTCGCATTCGCGATTGAGCAAGAACAATACTCCAGGAAAATTGCGAACAGTGTCGTAATTTTCGAAGTTGAAGGCGTCGTGGTTCTGGAAAAGGAGCTTGTTTTTGAAATTTTCGATGATTCTAGTCTGGCGGAAGTCTCACGAAAGTAGCTTGAAACAGACATGATGGGACAAGTGGTGAGTGGTCTCAGAATTCAAATCAATAGCACAGAACAGATATGATGGTGAGGGTAACGGTCGGGGTAGGGCGGAGAGAGCGTATTGGGGTAGCCTTCTTAGACGTCGTGAAGGCGGGGGCCGCATAGGATCCCCCCTGAGGTGGGCGAATGTCTTTAAATTTCTAGAAAAGCGCAGCGCGAAGGTTTAAACTGATCACTGCTGCCAACGCTAGGCACTGACTCCTCGCAACCTCTCCATGCAATATTATAATATCTAAAAGTTTTGAGACTTTTTGAATCTTATACCCAAGACAGTTCGAAATGACGTTACCCTCATCATCGTGGCTGTTCTGTGTCAGCACTTTTCCCTTCATGTCTGTTTCAAGCCACTTTCGTTAAACTTTCGCCAAACTAGAATCATCGAAGGACCGTCAAAAACAACCTCTTGTGAAAACCACTCCACTTTTTTAACACGTTGACGACAACGCGCGTTTTGGGTTTTTGCGCCGCGTGGGACCACGGCGATTTTGCAGGCGCCGCCGCCTCACATCAAATCCGTGAATTTTGAGCTTTAATTACCCATGTGTCAACCTATCAGAAGGGTCTGTAAAAATCGATCGAATTGACGTTTTCTGGCGATGAAAGGCAAGTTTCAGTTGCTTTTGCTGCAGTGAACCTCAAAATTATTTTTGACGCGGTTGCTCCACTAAAAACATATGTCTTGCTATATGTGTGGGTCTGTACTTACTTCTACTGCTCTTTTTTTTATGACCAAGATTGTCAGAATATAA